ATTAAATTGTAGGGCTCCAGGATTGGGTGAAATATCTTCAGAATCCAAGAGGAGCAGGAACCTAAAGAGTCCTACTTGTTACTGCACTGAAGGTAAAGCTATTTGTTTTTCTAAGTCTTTTGGATGTTGATTTTGAACGGAAGTGACTTTTTATTGATCAACCAATGCACTTGCAGGGCTCTAATGAAAAAGGTTGCAGGGCCTGCATGTACTGTAAACAGGTGCAGTTAGCAAGTCTGCTACTAGGTGACTCTCTTCCAGAATAGTGTGGTAATAGGGAATTATGTAAGTTGGTGCTAGGTTCCCTTTTAGACTGAGTCTTCCTGTAGTGCTGTCATGGGTGTAGTAAGTGTCCATGTATATGCCAGGATAGGAGTAGGGCAGTCAGGGTGTGTGAGCCAAACACCAGCATGCAGATGTAGTCAGCTAATGCAGAGGCCCTGCATTTGAGCAGAAGTCCATGGGTGATATAGTCCAATAGCCAGAAGAGCCAGTTGTAGTCATCCCATCTCATTAAACATGGTCTAAGGAGATTGGGAATGGGATGCTAAAGGCAAAGCGTTCTCTGTCATGAGTACTAATATCCTTGGTACTTCTAGTGATGCCTAGGCCAGACACCAGAAAGTAATGCTTGCAGCTCAAAATGCAACAAAATGGTAAAAATGTTAATACATTTTGTTAGCATTTATGTAAGAGAGAGGTAGGGGAACAAAATAAGACATTGTTGTTTAAGTGAGTGTGTCAGGGATCTCAAGGTCCGCAGCGGCGCACGGGTCTGCGCATGCGTGGAATACCAATGCGCACCAGCATGCGGGCGCTAGGACATAGGCAACCGAGGCAACAATCGTGGCCGTGCATCCACACACTGATGCGCGCCTGGCACCAATGACAGCGCAGGGCGCACTATTTAAATTGACCCCTTGCAATGCTGAAATTGCCGTAAGGTCTTGTTCCTGTTGTTCCTGCTCGTTCTGTTCCTGAGATTGCCTTGTTGCCGACCTAGCCTGACCCTGATTGCTGTTGACCGTCTCCTGCCCTGACCCCTGGCTCGTCTTGACTTCTCTTCTGCCTGTTCCTGATTATCTGACCTCCTGCTGCTGAACCTGGCCCGTGACCCGATTACTCTCTGCCTACTGCTCTGTACCATTTCGCCTCCGCTGTTACCGACCTGGCCTGCCTGGCTTCGCTATCTCTCCACGGTGTCATCCGTCCATCCATCCTGCACGGATCCATTTGCTACTGCCCAGATCTGCTCCACCCCTTCACAGCAGGCTCTTATCCGCTACGTGTCACTGGCATTTACCTCTACCGCAGCTGGGTGTACTCGGGGGACGCAACCGGGTCTCAGTGGGCCCCAAGTCCATCCCCACCATTAGGGGCTCTGGTGAATAAGCAGACTGAGGCTTAGACTCCGCGCCCTGGGGAATCCCGGCCTGTGGATCTCTAGAGTCACCACCAGTCGGTACCTGACAGAGTGTAGTTCTGCTTTAAGGAGAGAAGACACTGTAATGAGAAGGAAAGGAAGAGAGAAAGCATGTTAAAAGGTGGAAAGAACAGAAGCAGACTAAAAAAGAAAGAGCTAGAGAGAGTCAGGTTTACTTGCAGTCTGTTTGGAGTTCTGTTTGTCAGTCGTTTCTTGGGTCTGCATTTCTTAAAGTGCCTTATTTTAAGTGCCTTGTACTTGTAACTCCTTGGCGCTGGCAAATATGTGGCCTCTCGGTGACTGGGCCTTGGCACCGAGAGGCCACATATTTGTGTACCCAATGTAAAACCAACACTTCACGGAAAGCTTCCGATCGCTACATGCAGTCGGGAGCTTTCAGGTCATGTGACTGCTGTGGCAGCCAATCACAGCGGTCACGTGACTAAAACCCCACCCCGCCCCACCTCCCTGCATCAGAAACCTCTTAAAAGGCTGGGAGGTGCCAGTGCCAAGGGGTTAAAGTAGAGATGGATTCTGTCTGTGCCTTACACCCTGTCTGTGCTTCCTCTTATAAGAACAACTAAACTTAAGCTTGCATACACTAGTAGAATTTTGTTTTTCAGTCGTTAGTGGGATCAAAACTATTTATTTTTTACCATAGTGGCAAGAAAATTCAAAAGAACAGCATAGAAAATATTTCTTGAACAAACAAATTTCCAACAGCGTATGTGGTTTTCATTTGGGAAATTCCATTCATTCCATAATCAAATGCTAAAAGTAAACAAAATGTTGAAGTACTTCTGAATGATATTTGTCAAGTCTCTGTAGGCATTATTAAATTACTGATGATAATTTTTGTACAAACATTCATATCTACCAATGTATGGCGAGCTTTATACTGAGAGTGCCTGTCAATTATTCAACTTAGAGTAGATAAAAGACACATGCATGGCAAAGGGAGCTTTTCACACACAGACTTCAAGATAGACTAGAGTTGTAATGATATACATTGGTTCATTTGATCAGACAAGGAAACAAATCAAACATTTGTCAATAGCAAAGAATAAATTAACAGATATCTGAGGCAACATTTACCCACGTGTGTGTTTTTGCAAGATGACAGATACAGCATACATACACAACAGATAAAGGCATAATTTTCCTGTGGAAAACCAGAGAGGAGAAGAGATGATGATGCTAGATAGTGATAGTGCCTTAATTTGCATGTCCTGTATTTATTATGGGGATGTATATAAAGCAGACATGAACTCTATCTGTCTCTAACATCCCTGTCATGTAACAAACATTTAAGCTGAAGCGCCATACCACTGCTTAAAGGTCCAGATGCAACTTTTATTCTAATGTCAAGAGGAAGTCCATTGAGTAACACAGGCTTTGCCATCTGCTGGTTAGGCTGCTAAACCAGCTGCGGTCAAGGCCTGGGCTTGTAATCACACTAGAATAAATAACAAAAACGTTCCAGTTTACTTCTAGTCTATTTACACTGTGTCCAATCAAGCCCTGATGAAGTGGGTGTTTGTGGACCCCCAAACTGTGTTGGATACTCTTTGGACTGTACCCCTAAAGTTGTATCTGGACCTCTTAGCCATGGTGTGGCACTTCAATTTACTTTTTTGTTGCATTACACTACAAGCCAAGGAGGCCATGGAGATCCTCTGGAGTCTAGAAGCTGCCTTCCTGGGAAATTTTTTTTCATCAACATCAAAAATTTAAGATAGCAATACCAACAAGTTAACCTTATGGGTCCATTTACAGCCTGCGGTGATGTGACTCCCATGTGCATGCATTCAATTGGTCGAAGATAGGAAAGGGCTCCATTTGCAGGTAAGTTTATCATAATGTGTTAGTATGTGGTGCATACTAGCACATTATGACTTAAACCTGCAGGGGGAACAGCTTTTTATTTTTAGGTCTGGACTTAACTACCGCTTTTAAAGTTAATCTAGTATTTAGAATGTGTATAGTTTGGAATACAACAATCCCTCATTAAAGTGTAAGTTTAGCTTTACAAAAAACACACTATTCTGTCCCATATGAGTAAAGCAGCATAGTTTGCTAAACCTACCTACTAGCCAGAGTTTCCTTTTATTTGAACAATGTTATCTAAATCAGCATTTAAAAGGATATTTTTAAAATCCATTGCAGTCAGTGATAGCTCCATTCTGAGTTATTGTAAGGAGGGATATGTTTGCACTAGTGCCCCTAGAGTCATGGGAGGGAGCGTCATCCTGTTCATTCGGGACGCACATGCGCAGCATGTTCTCTCTTCTGGCACAGCTGCTGAGCTCATCATAAATGACAGGAAAGAGTATGTTGGAAAGCCTGACCTTTCCATAAGTATATATCCTTAAAAGGTAGGTAGTACATTTCCAGTAAGTATTATGAATTATTATTGTAGTGTTTACCTTTAAACAATTATTGACATGACTTTCATATTTTTGCATACTTGTCCCTCTACATTTTTGTTGTTATAGTAAATGTATAGTTTTTGTAGATAGGCCATTAGAAGCATAAAGTGAATCCAATTGGCTTTAATGTGGGTCACACCATCTGTACATAACTTGTACTCCTTAACATAAAGAAAACCTATTACAGGCCTAAATGTGACTATGGTGCAGCCTGTGTTCACATTTACAATTTGGTTGAAAAATAGAAACAAGTCCATCTAGTTCAATCAGTTTATATAAATATGTACAGATTATGTGATTTATATGACTTGTACACTATTGTATTGCAGTTTACAGGTGTATGTACCCTTAGAGTGACTCAATCCCTTAAAAAAAAGAGGGCTGCTAGCAGGTACAAAGTGCAGAAACCTACTGCTCTCATCCCCCTCTGTGGTGAAATACATGTCTTTCTGAATGAGTGAAGCTCAGACACGTCTGGTAGTGTTGGAGCTTGGTCTTTCCCACATTTCTTTTGGCTTATACCTATGATGAGCTGCACCATTGGCCAACGGGATGGTAGGAAGGTGTGAGGAAGCTCCATCACTACAAAGAAGAGTCAGTACTTTTCTGGTAGAAATAGCTTGCACTCAGCTGTAGCAAAGAGAAAGGTCCTGCTCCCACCATGGTGCAGAGACTTGAGTTTTTCTGCACACGTTCTGCAAGGGCACAACAAAATCAATTGTTCTCTATGTGCCCTGTTCACACCACAACACTAGTATCACCTGCAAATTTTATTCTGCACAGGAATCTCTAATGAGTATAAAACTCATTGAGGTGCGCATGAAAACTGATGTAAACTGATGTCTCTGTAAGTGAAATCTGCGTGTCAGTTTCCATCAGTTTTTCTGCACGTATGGTGTGAACGAGGCCTAATGAAAACTGCTGCAGGTATATGTGGGCTCCTCTAGGTATCTGCAAGTATAGTTTTATGCCTGCTGGCTGCCTTTTATTTTTTTTAGAGTCTCTTCAATGTAACAGACTTAACATACTACACATTATTAAATGACACTAGTGTATTTTATAGCCAGAATGTATCACATGTTTTCTTCAAACTAATTTTATAACTTTTATGGCTAGATAACAACTCCCCTCCTCGTGAGCATCATCTTATGACTACAAGAGAACTCCAGCTGTACTGGCAGAAGGAGAAATATGACGGAAAGCCAGTTCGGCTTCTTTTTCAAATCCACTCAACTCGCATTGCTGAGGATTTTCTGTCCAAGTTTGTGGTAAGGAAAAATAAAATCAGTATAAATTTAGTATATGACCAGAAAACTCTGCATAGAAGTGTTGTGTAGAATGTCAAGATTAACTGATGAAAAGATGATGTTGTAGATCCAGGGTGATGATGACATTGTACTGAAAATGAAGTCCCTTGCTCTAGAACATTGTCTGAATTGTTATCCTCTTGTGGCTTTACAAGCATAGTCACCTTCATTATGATTTTTTTTTTTTATCAGACCTGTATCACAGATAAAATGCTCATACAGTATCTCACAGAAGTGAGTACACCCCTCACATTTTTGTAAATATTTTATTCTATCTTTTTATGTGACAACACTGAAGAAATGACACTTTGCTACAATGTAAAGTAATGAGTGTACATCTTGTATAACAGTGTAAATTTACTGTCCCCTCAAAATAACTCAACACACAGCCATTAATGTCTAAACCGCTGGCAACAAAAGTGAATACACCCCTAAGTGAAAATATGTGAGGAGTGTACTCACTTTTGTGAGATACTGTAGGAAGACTGACTGCAAACAGATGATATGTCATGCCATCAACTGTCAGTCTCACAAAAGACTGTGGAGTTTATTTACTAAAACTGGAGATTACAATATCTGGTGTAGCTCTGCATAGAAACCAATCAGCTTCCAGGATTTTTGTCAAAGCGTAATCGAAGCAAAGTTAGAAGCTGATTGGCTACCATGCACAGCTGAACCAGATTCTGAGTGCACCAGTTTTAGTAAATCATCCCCACTGACTCTTTATACAACAGGTCTTTAAGTATCTGATAGCAAAGTAGTACTACTGGCTTCAGTCCTTCTTTCAACATACAGATAGGATAGCAATATCAGCAGCAAATGGAGGGGATGCCCAAAAAAACTGCTTTGAATGGGTGCTAAAGCCCACCAGACGTGACTTGTTTTTTTCTCATCCAGCCTGTGGGCTGAACAGGAGAAAATCAATTGATTCCCACATCCATGCTGTTAGCATGGATGGATGAATCTCCACTGCCAACTATTGTTTCAAAGCAGGCATGGCGTCTGTGACCACCTGAATACATTGCTGCTAAACAGTGACAGCGTTTTATAAGATGAATTCACTGTTCGGCCTGGCTCAGTCAATTATTTAATCCAATTTTACCTGAGCCAGTTGTTGCTTGCAGGGCCACCTATGGCTCGAATGTTGACCAATTCAGCAATAATCAGTAAAAATTTGAGCCATCTATGAGGGCCTTAAGTATAACTTGTCAGTCAAGCTGCATTAATCTTACATGTTAATAAATGACAACTGAACAAATAGTTTTTGACGGTGCTTCCCATTTCATTTTCTTAAACTGTATGTTGTAAGTATGGAGATGCAATGCGACACAGAAAATGTTGAAATTCATAGCTGTTCCTCAAACCTTGCTCAAGACAAGGTTTTGTATCTGTTTGTATTTCATGATCTTAAAACACATGTTTACTAAGGGGAATTTTTGATTCATAAAATACTCAGAATTTCTTTAAGTAGACACAACAACAAGTATAGTATACAGCAAGGAGCCAATCAAAAACAGGAAGCTAGTGGTTGAGATAAATAAATAAATTAGAAAAGATTGTTTTTTATCCATTATACAATATATGAAATCCCTACACTTCCTAATAAGAGGACCTTAACTATGGAAGCTGTGCCCAAAACGGTGAACATAATATAAGCCTTGAATCATATGGAATACCAATGTTGCTGAAATGATAGACAAATAGCTGAAAATCAAAAATGGCTTTGAGGCCTAACTATTAAAGTAAAAAAATTAGTGTGTATCAAAACTAAAGAATAAAAATTGTACATATATTGCAGTTTAATAGTCCCTAGATGCAGTGGTTGGATTAGTTTTCTTTATTTAGGCTTCTTTTTCCTTTACTTTTACCAGGTGATCCTGCCAATAAAATATTTCCTGTTCTAGAGGGACAACCCTCGTTCACAATACTATGTCTTTGAAGAAGCAGTGTTGTAACTCTAGGAAAGGAAAAGTCACTGATGTAACTGATAAGAGAGTGGCAGAGGCAGAGAGCTCAGAAAGTTACCAGCTCACAAGATTTCTGGCAGGATCAACAGGTATTCTTTCAGCTATCAAACAGATATAGCAAGAGAAGGGCAATCTGCTTGCATCTGAGCATGGTGAGTAAGTGGGTACTCTGCCACACTGCTTCTTTACCTCACACTCTAACCCTGCTGTACAAGTTGATACCAGATCTGACAACTCATGGGGCCCCCACAGGCAAAAGGAGATCATGGGGTCCCCATATGTAAAGATGGGCACCGCACAGCAGCCATCTTTATGCAGCAGCATTAATGCAGCAGACCCATGCTCAGCGACATACAGAGTGGAAGGAGACTTAAAGCTGGCAACCCAATAAAGGTACCAGGAGCCTCTCATGGGCAGTGCCACTATAACAGCATCATGGGCCCCGGGGCAAAGTAATGCACTGGGGCCCCTACAAGGGAGATGGTGACCGGCTAAATTATGCCACATATTTGACGTGGCTGATTGTACATTTTTGTCTGATTTTAGTCTAATTTTTTACAAATTTTAATATTTTATTTTACAGTTTTTTAATTTTAATTTTTGAATTCTTTTTAATTGAATAATTTTTTACATTTTTTTCACAATGTTATTGAGAGGAGGCTTTGGGGAGATATCAGGGCTTTCACTTTTGAGGACACATTCCCTAGTCCCTTTCTTTGTAGCCTCAGCTGCACTGCAGAGGAATGAACAGGAGACAGAGGCGTATTATGTTTACTATGCTTCAGTTATGAATTAATACATTTAGTGATCACTATCGATCACTCACTGTGATCACTTCGTAAAGGAAGGGACTGGTAAATTACATAATTACTAGCCTTTTTCCCACTCTCTATCCTGAAGATCCCCCTGTGTGCCTACAGCATGCTGCAGTGATCTGAATTTCTCTTGCTGCAGGGACCTCTTCCCACCACCCCCAGCTGTGTGCCCCCATCCCCCCACCACAGCGCTGCCAACTTCTCTTCTTTTCTCTCCCACCGGCAGCGCTGTGAGGGGGTGCAGACACCCGGGGAGGGGGGGGGTGATGCAGTGAGAAAAATCCAGATCAGTGCAGCAGGTGGGGGAAACAATTGGAACTGATCTTTTGTGGCTCTCACTGAAGCAGGAGATGTTGGCTTTCAGCTGCTGCAGTGAGAGCCACAAAATATTGTCTTCAGTTATTTCCACCTCCCGCTGCACTGATCACCCACTCTATCCACACGATCCCCTCTGTTGAAGGGGGGACTGCAGGGGCCATCCATGCACCTGGGGGTGCCTATGCAAAAACACAGCCCTGCTCATGAGGTCCACTACTGGCCCCCCAAGGCCTCAGGCAGTGCTCGAATGGTTAGTCCTCCCCTGTACCAGATCAAATCGAGTACTTACACTACTTGTGATAAAAAAAAAACACTTAGGGGGTCAAGGTATACAAAATTGCTTTGCAGATGTCTCAGCATTCATGTGAAAGTCACTGTTAACATGATAATGATTGTAATATGTGTGAAATGTCGGTTTCTATTGCCTTTAGCAGGGCAAATGTAACATTCCCTAGAATTCAATACTAAGAGAAAAAAAAGCCTGAAGAACAATCGACTAGAAGAGCTGAAGAACATTTGACCAATAGAAAAAATAGCCTAACACTAGAAGCTAAGAACATTCAACCAGAAGAGGAAATATTATGAGATTTCTGCATACAATGTTTATGAGCTGTAGGTTCATTCACTGTTTGGTAGGTTCAAAGAATGACCTAACGAAGGGGTGTTCAACTGTTCTTCCAGCTGCAGCAGGAATTGAAATATATTAAAACGGATGCTAAATGTGAGTTTCCTGCTCAGGGCTCCTGGTTGATAGGACATCCTAACAAACAGCTGATGCATCCTTGCCCAGCACATTCAGGTGTCAGCCAGGGATTCCTGAGTGACAAGTGTAAACAAAGAGGTGGGAACAGTGTAAAGAAAAATGGTGTGTGGTCACCTCCCAACGCCAGGCCATTCAGGTCTAGTATGGATCTTAAGGGGGGCTCCACCAAAGATACACTAAAAAATGGCACTGGGCCCCCCCTTTCAGGTCTGGCATGGACTTTAGGGGGAAACTCCACACTTAAAACAAAAAGTGAAAAGCATGCTCCCCCCCCCAAACCATACTAGGCCATATGACCTCAAAATGGGGGTACCCTTCCTGTCAAAGGACCTTTTCCCTATGTTGATGGGGAAAAGAACCACTTTTACACAACCCTGTGGGGGTTGTGGTCTTGTCCATATTTGGCCAATGGCCTCACCTGGGAGTCCCCACCCCTTTTACTTTAGTGGTGGGAATCTGCCCCTGGCTGTTGTCAGGTTTCTTTATTTGGTGATGTAAGGGAATTCCCGTGAGACGGCTGGTGAATAGACGTTGCCATGCGCACAGAAATGCACGATCGCGCACATGCACGCATACGTGCACACGCACGGCGAAGATTGGCGCCAGATGGACTATTTAAAAGGTTCCTCTGCCTGTGCTGAGTGCTGACTGGTCTTCAGCTGTTCTCCATTTCCTACTCGTTCCTGTGTGATTTCCTTGTTGCTGACTGAACCTGACTTGTTCCTGACCTGACTCTGATTACTCTCCTGCTTGATACTGGTTCCTGACTTCGGCTCTGCTCCTGACTTTGGCTTGCTTCTGATTTGGTACCTCACTGTCCGCCCGTTGATAACCCTGGCTATTCCTTTGACACTGCTCCTGTCTCCCACCCCTGCTTCCTGCCTTGCTCTGGTGCACACCTGGTGATCTACCCTACCAGCTCTGCATATTACTACCATGCCTGAATCGGAGGTTCATCAGTCTTCCAAAGTCACCAATCACAAGAGCTGCAAACAACATCTACTGGCGCTCTTGTCCCCCTGGTCCCTAAACACCCTCTGTTCCACCTCCAGTGGGGTCAGGGCTAGTGACACAAGTAAAGCCAACCTCCTCATTTCAGTCTCCTATCAGGTACATGACAGGTGAGTTGGCAGACATTGTTAATTGTTATTTGCATGAATCTGTATTGCTGGACAATGTAATTGATGGTGAATTTAAATTGTGGGACTTTTTGTTTTTTTAAATCAAAGGACATATTTTTTCATGAATGAGTAGGGATACTATATGCAACATACTCCTACAAATCAGGGAAGGTGGTATCTGGGGCCCCGCTTATTGTTTAAGGAGGCTTAGAGATGCTGATAAGCCATACCTGCAGACCCACACAAGCACCATGTTAGGGTTGTGGTGAAGAGGCCCTTGTCCTCATCAACATGGGTATATGATCTCCTCTTTTCCTGGATTGCCAGGCTGCATGGTCGAATAAGGGTCTGGTATAGATTTTAGATTTTGAAAGAGAACCCACGCCATTTTTTTTGTCTTTTCTCTTAAAATACCAGTCCTGTAGGACCTGGTATGAATTTTAGGGGGGAAGCCAAACCACCTTTTTCACACTATCCTCCCACCTTTATTTACATTTACCTGTCAGCTGGGAATCCTGGTTGACAGCTGAATGTGTCAGGCAGTAAAGAGCCATTGGTTGTTGGGATGTTGGTGGATGTTAGCTGTGTAACTACCAGGAGCCCTGAGCTGGAAGCTTTCACATTCAATAGCAAAAGTAATACCACTTCTAAATGTTTCTGTTGCTGCTTCTGCTGGAGGTTTGTCTTGGCCAATCACCCTTCTGTTCATCTGTTTGCTGAACCTTATAAACAGGGAACGGATCCGCAGCCCATAACTATTGTACATAGTGCAGAGACCTTACATTATTTCCCCTTCTGGTTGAATATTCTAAACTATAGTGTCAGTCTATTTTCTTTTCCTCTTCAAGTCAATTGTTCTTCAGGCTTTTTCTCTGTTTGGATCAAATTTTAAGGAATGTTACATGTGTCGTGCAAAAGGCAAAAGAAACTGACATTTCATAGATATTACAAACATTGTGGGTATTATTTGTGATTTTCATGTGAATGTTGGTGCAATAAAAATTATTATTATTTTTTTTTTTATTATACTTAGATTCCTTAATGATGTATTAAAAGAGAACTTTACTCATAACAACTTAGTAAAAAATAATGTCCTTTATCAAGGAACACACATTCCACAACAATAATTATGCTACCAAAATTAGTCTGTGCTGTAAATTGCCTCCATCATTGCTCCTGTTTCTCCTTGCTGGAGGCTGCCATTTTGCTGAAGCTCAGAGCCCCTAAGCAGCAGTAAATCTTTAGGCCATCAGCAGATCGGCCTCTACATTTTCAGCACAGTGTCGAAAAATAGAGAGCAACTGATCATGTGTAGAGTAGGGTGAGACAGTGTAATACTGGATTTTAAACAGACATATTAACACTTACTTGCTCCATGCAAAACAACAAAAAAGTGGCAGGAGTTGGGCTTTTATTTTACCTACTTACTCTTACTTAGGAGTAAACAGCATGGGAGTATCAGGGAGATAAGTACAGGCATCTTGTGGTGTGCACATTGCAGTCCCTTCTTGAGTTTTGCTGATTCTCATTCAGAGTCACTTTATTAAAGGGTAACTTTATTTTCATAGAAAACAAATAGCAAAAAAAAAGCATAAACAATTGCTACACAAGCCATATTGTAATTGAATGTTATTAAAAATTACCTTTTACTAGAGGCTTTCTGTACGCTGTTGGTGTACAGAACATTCCTAGAAATGTAATTTAATTTTTAATGGGACACTTCTAAAGGGTTATTTACTTCTAAAGAGATGGAGACACTGCAGCTTCAGCTTCCCTCATTAGAACACTGCAAGTGCATCAGCTGAATAATAATTAAAAGGTCACTCCTATTCAAATTCAAACAAAGAGCTATTTCACCAGAGAAGAAACAGGTATGAATTTACAACAAGGTTTGTTAAAATCCCTGCAATGTACATTGATCGTATAAAGGGGGTTGTTTTTTAAAGTTATTAAAGTTTTTTTAGAGTTATTATATAAAGGAATAAAGAGGGAGGTGAAATAAAGTATGCTATGAATTAGGACAAGAGTAGGATTAGTGGGTGAAAAGCATATTCCAAACATTAAAGGCTGAATTCAGCAAAGTCATGAGAAGTCTCTGCTTATACAATGGAGTTTGGAAGCTCTGCATGATTATATTGTGATAAATTTCACAATATGATCATTTTTCAGCCCACCCCACCAACAAGTCACATATACTACAAAGAAATAATAAAATTTACAATGCTTTTGCAGTTATTACAATTTAAGGAACTGGTGAAAATCAATATGTAATTTTGGGGTTGTGTCATGAATGTGTATGGCATATGCAATGGTTAAGACCCCTGTATTTTTTCGATGTTTGTATCTCATCATGAAGATTTTCCTTTGTTGCTCAAGAGAAACAGAATTTACAAGGAAATTTCCTAGACAGTTCTGGCTAGAAAACAGGTTCCCCATTAGAAGGTTATTGCTCACCCCATGTCTCTGTGACAACATTTGGGATTTTCACTTTCTGTTTCAGAGACAAAGTCAGCAAGACAAATAGAGAGGGTGAATCTCCTCAGCGCGAACAATGACAGCAATAAAATCAGACAGTGTTATTTACACTACCTAACTCTAACCAAAACTAAAAAAAATATATATATTTTAAGGTAGAAAATGCAAAAATCTAACATACTTATTGGCTATATTATATATATATATATTACTTACATTATTATTACTTATACACTCATTCCCTTGAACAGTTGTACAAGATTGTGATCATCAAGACAGGAAGTTTTGATGGGAAGAAAGTCTTCATTGAACGAAGATACTCTGATTTTGAGAGACTTCATAGAAACTTATTAAAAGACTTTAAGGATGAAATGGAAGATGTGGTCTTTCCTAAGAAAATTCTCATGGGAAACCTCACTGAGGAGATAATTCGTAAAAGGATGGTTGCCCTTAAAGACTACCTTGGAGAGTTGTATGCTATACGAAGTGTGAGAAAATCTTGTCAATTTGTTGCATTTTTTATAGAATCAGAATTAGAGGAAGGATACAGCTGTATCAGAGGAGGACAGTACAAAAAAGCTAGAGAGACATTAGAACAAGTTCTTTACCTTCAAGAAAAACTGGTTGAACATTGTCCCATCATGATGGTGCTAACTCTATGTGCCCTAGTCGTTTGCCATAAAGATATGGACCAATTAGAAAGCGCTTATGAGACTGGAATGAAGGCACTGGAACTTCTGCAGAAACTCCCAAGACATAGATATTACAACCCATTATTGGAAACTTTGATTTCATTGGCATACAAACTAGGAAAAGACTTCCTGTCTTTAAGGGAAAAATTTGAACATGGGGAAAATAGAAAAACAAGGAGCAGCTTTGAAGGTGAAATGATCACTTTGAAGGAGCTTGTAGTAAAGGAGAGAGTACCTACAGATTAAGTGTCCATGCACACTGAGCTTACAAAACAATGCTTCTACAGGAGTTTTGTGTTTTTTTTCTCCTGCCTGTAGCAGCTCTATGTGGTTCTATGTGTCCATGCACATTAGGACATTTAGGAGCATATTGCAAGAGAAGTGTTTAAAGGCAGAAAAAAACCTATCATAAGTATGTTTTTGAGAGGAGTTTTTAAGCAGAAAAAAACCACTAAAAACTTAAAAACGCTCTTTAAAGCGGTGTTAAGGAACAGTCTGCATTTCAAGTGTACACTGAAAAATGAGCAGAGGGGAATATTTTGGAATAAAAACCCTTATAAAAGCAAATGCCCATAAATCCTTTTAAACTCTTGTGCAATACGAGCTAATATGAGCATTTGTTATGTCGCTTTTTCTGCCGGAGGTTCTGACATTTTGTTCTGTTCCTAGTGCGCATGGACAGTAGAGGTTGCAGCTGTGTCTTAAATATATTTGTGTTTTTTCTGTACTATTCTAGAAATGTCTAAAATTACTATTGTCGGAATGGTTTTCAAATCCAACTTATTTCTGCAAAGTGATAAACATTATTTATCATGTATAATGGTGATATAGGTAACAAATGCTTCTGTAGAATGAATACCCAGGCTATATTATACTATAACTGGAGCAATGAAGATTGTGAACAGACAACCTATTTCAGCACTAAAATGTAATAAATGCTAACCTCTGATTACGTTTTATCATTACCTGCAATATTCTTCCCTTTCAGTGGTGTATGTATTATATATTACAAAATAGACATGTCCAATTTGTGTAGGTACATATGGCCAACATACAGTATATGCATAACAGTACATCAGCAGTCCTTTGCTGAGTCCTTGGCCTGTGTTCTGAAATGAAAAAAAAAACACCTGCACACAAAATGCAGGACCCAGGGGCGGGTGCCATTAATGTTAATGGAATGCTGCCCACACTGGAAATCGCACCCGCACTGGGAACTACATTGTAGTGCGGTTCCCAGTGCAGGCTGAAATTTCTGGAAAGATGCAGGGACCTTTTCCCTGCATTTTGTGAGGCACTGCAGCCTATTCAAGTGACTGGCCTGTCGTGCCAATGGAAACGCAACCCGCACAGCATGAATAGGTGTGAACCTAGCATTAGGATGATATTATACTTTTACAGACACTAGCGCTGTTATTATACATCCATTGATACTATACCCCTGATGGAATCTGAAATTAAACAGGAACCTGTGACTGAACAAGTGAGACCCTGGCTTCGGGGATATGAGTGGAGTTCCAACCCAAATGTCTACACATTTTAACCTAGTCTGTTTGACCCCTGGTTCTTTGCAGAATATTTGGGGATTGATGGTATAGTGGAAACATAAGAAATCTAATGGTGGATACTGATTTGTAAGTATATACAGGTGAAACTCAAAAAATTAGAATATCGTACAAAAGTTCATTTATTTCAGTAATGCAACTTAAAAGGTGAAACTAATATATGAGATAGACTCATTACATGCAAAACAAGATAGTTCAAGCCGTGATTTGTCATAATTGTGATGATTATGGCTTACAGCTCACGAAAAACCCAAATCCACAATCTCAGGAAATTAGAATATTGTGAAAAGGTGCAATATTCTAGGCTCAGAGTGTCCCACTCTAGTCAGCTAATTAAGCCATAACTTCTGCAAAGGGTTCCTGAGCCTTTAAATGGTCTCTCAGTCTGGTTCAGTGGGAATCACAATCATGGGAAAGACTGCTGACCTGACAGTTGTGCAGAAAATCATCATTGACACCCTCCATAAGGAGGGAAAGCCTCAAAAGGTAATTGCAAAAGAATTTGGATGTTCCCAAAGTGCTGTATCAAAGCACACTAAAGAAAGTTATGTGGAAGGGAAAAGTGTGGAAGAAAAAGGTGCACAAGCAGCAGGGATGACTGCAGCCTGGAGAGGATTGTCAGGAAAAGGCCATTCAAAAGTGTTGGGGACTTTCACAAGGAGTGGACTGAGGCTTGAATCAGTGCATCAAGAGCCACCACACAAAGACGGATCCTGGACTTGGGCTTCAAATGTCGTATTCCTCTTGTCAAGCCGCTCCTGAACAACAAACAACATCAGAAGCATCTTACCTGGGCTAAAGAAAAATAGACCTGGTCTGTTGCTCAGTGGTCCAAAGTCCTCTTTTCTGATGAGAGCAACTTTTGCATCTCATTTGGAAACCAAGGACCCAGAGTATGGAGGAAGAATGGAGAGGCACACACTGCAAGATGCTTGAAGTCCAGTGTGAAGTTTCCACAGTCTGTGTTGATTTGGGGAGCCATGTCATCTGCTGGTGTTGGTCCACTGTGCTTCATTAAGTCCAGAGTCAACGCAGCCGTCTACCAGGCGATTTTGGAGCACTTCATGCTTCCTTCCGCAGACAAGCTTTATGGGGATGCTGACTTCATTTTCCAGCAGGACTTGGCACCTGCCCACACTGCCAAAAGCACCAAAACCTGGTTCAACGACCGTGGGATTACTGTGCTTGATTGGCCAGCAAACTCGCCTGACCTGAAACCCATATAGAATCTAGGGGGCATTGCCAAGAGAAAGATGAGAGACATGAGACCGAACAATGCAGAAGAGCTGAAGGCCGCTATTGAAGCATCCTGGTCTTCCATAACACCTCAGCACCTCATAGGCTGATAGTTTCAATGCCACGCCGCACTGAGGCAGTAATTGCTGCAAGAGGGGCCCAAACCAAGTCCTGAGTACATATGCATGCTTATACTTTTCAGAGGTCCGATAATGTTCTATAAATCCTTGTTTTATTGATTGCATGTAATATTCTAATTTTCTGAGATTGTGGATTTGGGGTTTTCATGAGCTGTAAGCCATAATCATCACAATTATGACAAATCGCGGCTTGAACTATCTTGCTTTGCATGTAATGAGTATCTCATATATTAGTTTCACCTTTTAAGTTGCATTACTGAAATAAATTAACTTTTGCACGATATTCTAACTTTTCGAGTTTCACCTGTAGTGTTAAATATCAAATTAATTATATGGTATTAGAGAATTTTCTGATATTGACAGTATATTGATTCCTTGCACTGAATAATATCCCTCACTCTCTGAAGAAATGGTGCATTGAAACCGAACAATGTGTAAGAATTTAACCCCTTGTCAGTCCTTACTGTCTCCCAATGAAATGTACTAGAAAAATTTATAACTACATAAATTTGATCTATAAACATTATATGTGGAGAACATCAAAATGATAAAGTGCTTAACAGATATTGACATTTTTAAATAGTACCAATACAAATGTATGGGGTGTGTAGACAAGTCAAATAAAGAAATGGAGATCCTGCCCAATTGAAAATATTTGATTAATATACTGTGATAGGAGGAGGGGTATCTTCTTATAACACATAAGGTGTATGTATCTAGTAGCACAATGACAGAGATACTACAGCCAGAATGTCTGAAAGGTACAGGAACTCATGAGGTGGACTAACTCCCCACCGTCAACCAAAAACTGAAATATCATTTTGGGCGGGATAAACCTTTAATAAAATGTGACAGTTGTGCACTCACTCCAGTCCCTTCTGCTGTTCTTATGAATCTTGGCTAATTATTTTTAACCGCTTCCATACAGGGTACTTTTACCCCCTTCCTGTCCAGGCCAGTTTTCAGGTTTCAGTGTTTTTACATTTTGAATGACAATTGCGCGGTCATGTAACACTGTAACCAAACTAAAATGTTATAATTTTCTTCACACAACTAGAGCTTTCTTTTGGTGGTATTTAATCACCACTGGGGTTTTTATTTTTTGCTAAATTAACAAAAAAAGAACAAAATTTTTTTTTTTAAAAAACACGTTTTTCTTTGTTTCTGTTATAAAAGTTTGCAAATAAATAATTGTTCTTCATAAATTTAGGCCAAAATGTATTCTACTACATGTCTTTGGTGAAAATAACCCAAATTAGGATGTATTATTTAGTCTGTAGGAAAGTTATAGAGTTCACAAACTATGGGATATATCTGAAAACTGATCAATCCTGAAGTACTGACAGCCAATCTAATTTCTTGAGGTCCAAGAATGTCAGAACAGTACAGATATCTCCCAAATGACCCCTTTTTGCAAAGTAGACAATCGGACGTATTTTATAAGAGGCACGGCGAGTTTTTTGAAGTTGTAATTTTTTTGTCATAATTTTTCGGAAATGAAAAAATTTAAAAAATTTTCACTATTTTTTTTTACATACTCTCACCAGTACTGTACAGCATCTTCATATAACTGGCATGGTGGTGATCAGGGACACTGACTGGTGACAGTACGAAAAAAAAAATTATACTTTTTTTTAAATTTCTGTATTTTCTTTTTCTATTACATTTTTTTCTCTTTTTTTATATTTTCTTTTTTCATATTTCACTATGACCAAAGTAGTATAACGTTACCATAGTAACATTGTACTACTTTGGGGAAGTGATCAGTATTTTTTTTTTTTTTACACAATTTGCTTATAGCAAAGAATTTCTTTGCTATGAGGAAGCATTTACCTGAATGAAATCGATTCATTCAGGGTTTTTTTTTTGTGCTTAGCTGTGATTTGGCCACAGCTAATCACATGACACAGCTGGGCTGTGATTGGCCCAGCTTGTGCATGTGATTACTGTGACCATTCACAGCTAGACACACTGTGATTGGTCACAGCAGGTCACATGGTACTGGCAACGGGCCGGTACACAGATCTGTCATCGGTCGTGTCCGAGGTACACGGCCAGTAACAGATCGCACCGTTGCGCAGCCCTGTGGGCAGGCGCAATGCGCATGCCTGAAAGGACGCCATATGGCGTCCACCTGGAGGGACGAGCTGTTTGCCTGGCCGCCATCTGGCTATAGGCCGGGCGGCAACTGGTTAAAGCTTTAATGAGAAAAAAATGTATTACTAAATTGAGCAAAATAAAGTGATTTTTCCTCCTTTGACATTTTGCTAAACTTTACATATTTGTTTAGTCAAAATGTTGCATG